CACACACACACACACACACCTTCACTGCTGGACGACGGTCCTTCATCCTCCCTCTCGTCTACCTCCACCTGCATCGCCTCTGTTGACCCGGGCAGCGTCTCAAACCTGACAGGAGACACGGGACAGTTTAAACACACACACGTGATCCAGCGCTGCCCTCAGAGTTCATGGAAACACGCAGAGGCAGCGTCCAGCCGTCAGACTCCATGGGAGCTCCTCTCCTCGGCCCGCAGCGTCTCACCTGTGTGACGGGTCGAGCTCTGCGGACTCGGGCACGAAACAAAACGCGGATATTGTGATTCTTCGGTTTGTTGCTGCGTCCCCGGAACTCGCGTCATGTGACTCGGCCTGCGTCATCACGTGACTCTGGGCGAACCCAAACTAGCCGCCGGGACTTCCGGGTTTGCGGAGGAGGCGTTCGTTCTCCGATGTTTTCACCTGAATTTACCGCAAAAGTTTCCACTTAAACTTCACGCAACCGGAGCGGACACGCGTGGGTGAGTCCCGCTCGTGTTTCTACACGAACTCACACACTTGGCAGGTTTTGCTTTTAGCCGCACAGCGACACGAGAAGACTGCTAACATATGCTAGCTAGCTTGTTGATGTTTAGCCGAGGAGTGAAGCTGGAGTCATGAGGGGATGAGAGCGATTCACTGACTGTGTCTTTAACTCGTCACATCCACAGTCAGCACACAGGCAGCGGAGGATTCAAGATGTCAGCTGCTGTAAAAGCGTCATGTGTTTTCTTGTGTCACTTTGTGTTGCGGCTCCGGGTGTAAAGAGGGAGAACAGCGCCCGTGTGAATGATTACACCAGAGGACGGTAGCTTACAGACGGGGAGCTGACCCGGGGTCGTCTCCTGGTTGTTAAAGATGTCCGGTGGGAACCTCTTCAGCAAAGTGCGCTCAGCCTTCAGGAGGGAGCAGGGGGACTGGGCCCTCAGCGACTCGGCGCCCTTTGACTTCTCCGATGAGCTTGGGGACGATGATGCGCCCAAATTCAGCAAGCTCAAGGTGGTGGTGTCCGGGGAGATGTCCGACTACTCCGCCGGGGCTCCGTCCAACGGGGTGGCGGTGAACACGCTGGTGGTGGCGGCGGCGGACGACGACGACTCCCTGCTCGGGTCCTCCTCGAGCCTGGGCAGTCCGATAAACATGGACCCCTGTGACAGCTGCACCAAGAGGAGGGAGATGATCAAGCACAGGAAGGTGATGAAGAGGCTCGTTGTTGCTGCTGTGCTGTATTTCCTCTTCATGACGGGGGAGATCATAGGTGAGCAGGATCAGAGCCGAACCACACAGCACATTTGTCCATCACAGTTTCTCACAGGGTCCCAGGTGACAGGCTGCAAGTCTGCTTCAACTCACATGGGTCTACAAAGTTTATTGATTACTATTTCGAAAAGATACAATTTATTGACTCCTGCGCTGGGGTTATAAACTTGTCAGAATGAGGTGGATAAGAGAGTGTGAAATTGTAAAACAAGAAAAAAACTTTCACTTCAGACATAAATATTGGCAGAGAAATGTACTGGAGTTAAAGTGTGGCACAAGAAGATTCCACAAAGATGTTCGTTGTATTTTTGCATTATGTATAAGATATTGAAATTCATGTAAATATATAATCAAATCAAATATACTTAATTGTCCCAAGGGGAAATTTGTTTTTGGCCACAGTGTTACAGCAGCTGCAGAACACTACGTTGTACAACAACAACAAAAAACAGTGCACACTGACATATCGTGCAAGACCCAGAATAATAATTCAGAATAAAAGTGAGTTGAATATTGCACCTGCCCTAAAAACACTTAAAATGATAAAACACTTGTGGTGGAAATTTATCTCGAGATGTGAAATAAAAAGTTTCTCAGACCAGAGTTGTCTTTAGGTCATTTAATAGAAAGCTCTGCAGTGGGTTGCACAGTTAGCATGAATGCTCAAAGTGGAACAACCCCGAATAGTGAAAGAAGAAGGTTTTTATACAGTCAGGTAGACAGGAAACATAAAAGACAACTGTTTCTGAGTGAAAGCATGAAAACTTAAGCCACCTGTAGTCTGGTGGATACAGGAAGCTGTCTGCTCTTGCTTCTGCATGAAAGAAGAAGTTTGCTACCGCATGGATTAGGGAAAACATCAAGAGGATCATCATCAAGAAATGACATGAACTCTGAGGTTACATCTGCCAAGTGCATAGCAACAGTTAGGGCATTTGATAGTTAAGGGTAAAACAGTAAAAGGTGTCTGTCGAGTTTCGAATCGTCCGTCTGCACGTACGCCAGACAGTTCCTGAGTTCCAGAGTTATTGTTGAACCCAGTACACAAGCATTGATCAGACATAGGAAAGTGTTCAAGCAAAGTTCATACGCAGGTTTTCCAGGATATAATAATATAAACAAATAAAAAACATAAACTGCCATAAAAAAAAAAAACCCAGAGTGGGAGAGGTGCCAGACAAAGTGCAAAGGTTATTGAGATATGACCGAATCAACACGTCTCCTTATTGAGTCGTGTGATAGATGTTGGGATGAATGAGAGCTTAAAACTGTTGGTTTTACACTTATAGACTATATATGGATAAAAGTAAGTATATAAGTATAAATGCATGTATGGTAAGCTATATGAATATTAGTTTAAAAAGCGTATGAACCATATGTGTATATATAGATCTGTATAATTTTACTGTAGCATACTAAATAGCAGTATACAATAAATTGTAGAACTATATAAAGATGTACGTATATATATGAATGGGTTAAGTAAAGTGTGGGAGGATTCCTCCTCGTGATGTTGATTCTACAACTGGAACTTTCCTGGAGGGATGGAGCACCATGTTCGCTCATTGCTGTTTTGACGATGGTGTTGGACAAAAACACCCATGAGACCCATTTTTTTCACATGAAACAAAGGACCTTTGCTTTCTGTACAGGTCACTGGTTTCTAATAGAAAAGTAGTGACTGGAACATAGCTCCTGTAGCAAATTGATAAAGTAGATATCGTTCTCCCAGAGCCACATTAGATCATAGACTATATGTCTGTGAATGTCTGAATTGAGCCACACCCATCTAAACTTGTTTTTTTACCTGCATGTACAAATAGCTGAGATACAGCTCAGTGTTTGTCATTTTGTATAATCACTTTCTCTTTACCTTCAGGTGGTTATGTGTCCAACAGCTTAGCCATTATGACTGATGCTGTCCACATGCTGACGGATGTTGTGGGCATTTTGTTTTCTTTGCTGGCCCTGTGGCTCTCCACCAAACCACCCACCAAGAGATTCACCTTCGGACTGCATCGCCTCGGTAAGCTTCATCCTTTACTCTTCTTCTTTTCACTTTTCCTATCTTTCCACTCCGCTCGGTCTTGTGTGAGTCGATATATTTGGTTTTGAAGCAGATGAATCATGTTGAAAGAAGAAACCCGCGTTCACTCCAGAGATCAGATTACTGAAAGGCAATTTAGATTCGGCTATAAGCCGAGACGACAGCTAAATTTAGACCTCCATGGTCATTCATCATTTCATTGACTAGGCTCATTAATAAAAAAAACACGTTATAGTTAATATCAAAAACTGATCCCATTTAATCATCAGAAAGGATTCAAACATGAATTGACAATCCCAACAGACTATTTGCCAAATAGCATTTACAGATATATTGGGCATAATTCTGATAATGTAAAGTGCATTTATTACATGTGTATTTGTTGATGTTGGTACATTGATCCTGGATGAGAGCTACAGGTTGAAATCTGATTTTTCCCACAACTCTTACTGCTATTGTTCTAAATGTGTTTTGTTTATACAACTGATTTCCCGACCTAGAGGTTGTATCGGCCGTCGTCAGCGTGCTGCTCATCTACATTCTGACGGCCATACTGCTCTATGAGGCGGTTCAGAGGACAGTGCACCAAGACTTCAACATAGACGGAGACGTCATGCTCATTACCGCAGCTGTTGGAGTAGCTGTCAACCTGGTGTAAGTGAAATGTCCATTTGGGAATTTCTTTGTAGAACTGAGGCTTTTTTAGGCTTTTGTCTTATTGTTTTAGTTGTAAATTAAACATATAGAACTAAAACCAGGTTCCTGGGATCATTATGTAAGATCATATAACACTGCTTGGCTGGCTTCATGTCTGGAGTTGAATTTTTACATCTCATAGACAATCAAACATAAACAAGTCATCCTGTTCTTTCCATGTTAACATTTTAATTGTCACTTCAAGGCCCAACATGTCTCTGTGGTGTCCTGAGTACAGTTACACACATAGAAGAAGGTAACAATGGGATCAAATTACCATTTGAGGGCCAAAATTGATTCTCATTGCCTTGAAGACAGTTTCCATCCTTCAGTTAAGCATGACATATGGCTTCATGTACTTAGTAGAGAAAAAGACTAATGGACATAGATAATAAGGCTTGTAAGAACCATGAGGGATGAGGAGCGAAGTAAACCACATATTTAAAACCTACAAAAAACAAGTCTTGTATTTATATTCATGTACAGGAAACATTTAAAAAGAAAAAGTCTGTCTCGCCATATTATACAGTTGTTTTACAACTCTTAAGTTTGATTGCAGTTAAAATTGTGAGGCTTTTACAAATTAAGAACTGAAGTGCAGCAACATGACGAGGCTGAATGCATCACTGTGAGTGTAGAGTATCAGCAAAAATGTTACAGCTCAGTATAAAGTACTGTCCAAGTTGCTGATGAAGCATAATGTTTGACCACAGTCAGCAGGTCAATCAATAATTTGCACTTTAAGTCAGAAAAACAAAATCATGTTATTCCTTAAAAACAAATCTCTCTTTCTTTGTTTTCTGATGTCCTCAGAATGGGTTTCTTATTAAACCAAGGGGGTCACGTCCACTCGCACGGCCCCGGCCACGGTCACTCCCACGGCTCTGCAGCCGCCTCAGGGTCACATTCGGCCGGGTCGGGTCACCAGCAGAAGTCACACGGCAGCCTGGCTGTCAGAGCTGCCTTCATCCACGCTTTGGGCGACCTCCTCCAGAGTGTCGGGGTGCTCATAGCTGCCTACGTTGTCCGCTTCAAGGTCCTCCACCTTTTTCTTTTAAATGTTAACTATTACCACGGTTTACTTCTAAAAATTATACATTTCTTTTGTGGATATAATATTTTTTTTGGCAGACTTAAGGTCTTTGCACACCAAGTCCATATTTTTAGCGAAATTTCCGCATGTTTACAAAATAACAATTTTCAACGTGAACATTAGTAATAAATTAAACTAGATTTATTTTTATGATCAAATGTTTTATTTATTGAAAAAATATGAAAATAAAAACAGATAAATATTAACAAATGAAAAAAGAAGAAAATAATGTAAGTAAAGCAAAGAAACACAGACACACCACATCACTCAGATCCAGGTCAACAACAATACAGTTGTAAAATATTTTTTTTGTTTATTGTGAACACTAAAGTTTATTGCCAATAAAACTGAATTGTTTGCTCTATGGACTCCAGCAGTCGATAACTCTGAGTGAAGTTTCCTGTAAAGAACCATGTAGTTTGGAACTAGTTAACGGGATAGAGAGGGAAACAATTCTGGGACCTGTCTTAGTTAGTAACATTGGTTGTGTTGACTTTATTTTTGACTTCCAGAAGAATTAATGTGAAAGAAATCCACCCAGTGAGAGTTATTGTAAATACATGAAACATTTTGCATTTGGCTCACTTGCTATCCTCTGAATAAATATCTTAAGGTTGTACTGGCTCAGGATTTAGAAATTACTGGAGAGATATCAACTGAACCTTCAGGAGACTATTTGGAAGTAAGCTTTAATTTATAGTAAAACAAAGTGTTATAGAGGGAAAGTTGGACACAATTATCCAAATGATTTCCTGTCTGAAAGCTGCTCATGTGTGAGCAATAATTAACTGCACCTTGTTGAACTAGTGGCTTTGTATCGCGTAGTCGTTCATTTTCCAGAGATTTGTAATTGCTGTCCCCTTGTTTTAAGTTCAACATCTGAATGTAGATTAACTTCCAGGATGAGCATGCAGTAGGAGCTCAGACAAAATTATTTGAAGAAGTTATATACGTCAAAACCTATAAAAGAAAAACCTAGATTTCAGCTGATGTGATGTAACCCTGTGTCTTCACAGCCGGAGTTAAAGCTGGCCGACCCCATCTGCACCTACATCTTCTCCGTTCTGGTTCTCTTCACCACGATCCGCATCATGCGAGACACCACAGTCATCGTGCTGGAGGGTAAGTGTTGGTTCTTCTCTCGTGTTTAGTATCAAGAATGTGGAGCGCGTTCGTTAATGGTGTTGATGTCTCTGTGTATCAGGTGTTCCCAGACACTTGGACTCTCAGCGAATCAAAGAGGACCTCCTGAAGCTGGAGGATGTCCATTCAATCGATGAGCTGAACGTTTGGGCTCTGACCACTGACAAGACTGCAGCAGTCGTACATCTGCAGCTCAGTGAGTATCACATGAGCACACACCATAAGAGAGAGGGATTCTGGGAAAGTGTGGGTGTGAATTATTAAATGTTATTTAGTCGATTTTTGTGAAATCTACATTTTACATTCGGACAAAAAAGCAATTCATCCAAATGAATGTACTATTCATCATATGTTATTATGGTGTGATACATTAATGTTTAAGTTTGCATTCTGAGACATTTGATTTGCTGTTTCAGCCTCATTTCAGAATAAGTATAATTTTTTTCTTTGCATTTGTGTGATAACATCGTAAATTCCAAGTTTTTTCAAAAGGTTGTTTAATGGTAAAAATACCATTGGCAGTGACTACAGGTGGAGTTTATGACTGCTCCTGCAACCAGCCACCAGGGGGCGATCAAGAGGATCTGACTTCACTATTTGGGAGCAGTTATGCCGTCCAACTTTGTTTCATTCATATTCAACTGCATTTTGTGTTCACAGCACCCTCTAGTGCCGACAACTGGGAGGACGTCCAGGCGAAGGCCCGTCACCTCTTGATTCACACCTACGGTCTCACCAGGTGCACGGTGCAGGTGCAAACACACAGGCAGAGGCTGGCGCACAGCTGTGCTCACTGCCAGCAGTCCAGCGCTTAGACAAAGACTCACAGTGACGTCCTCAGTGCATTTTCTGGAGCTGGACAGAAAAGGACACAGTGAAAAGAGGCTCTGAATGGATGTCACAGCTCGGTGCCATAGCAGGAGTCATAGTATGTAAGTGGAAAAAGAATGGTGCCAAAGGACAGATGCACGTTTCTAATTAAAGGATCACCACAGCCTCGAGTGGCCGCACGTCCTTACGCTCGATAAGCCCTCGGAGGGGAGGTTAAATGCTTCAGTAGAGAAGAATCAAAGAACGTATTCTTAATTCACCATTAAAGCCTATTCCACAACTGATGTTTTATCATCAGATGCAAATGTATTTTTTTGTTTATAGGTGTGACGACTGTACACTATGATTTTATCTCTTTACTAAGGGACGTCTGCAAATGAAAAGCACCTACTGTCGTTTAATAATAAATCTGTAAACCTCACCACTGGTACACGTGAGGCAAAAAACCCTTTATTATTGTTTCCCTTTATAGGACATTACATTTCCTCTAATGCTCTTAATCATTATTGTTCCACAGCCAAAGTCTGTTGCAGCGCAGATTTTTTAACAATAATTTTAGGTATTTCTAACATTGACACTAAAGTCCGGCTTTACTGACCGACAATTAAAATAACTTGTCACTGATGTTTTATTCCAGCACATCTCTTAATTCATTTTTATGAGCATGTAACTGACAATCAGTGTGACTGACTTGGAATTCCGTGCTACAGTGGTTTCACTCTATACTCTGCTTTTTCCTCATAGCAATGAACTGAAGCTGTACTGATGCAGGCAGATTTAAGGGAAACTTCAGTATTTTACAGTTGCAGTGTTTTGCAAGGAGAGCGTTTGAGTTGGAATTTGCCAATAGTGGTGTTCATGGTGTTTTGAGGCTGTGGCAGGTTTTTATTTGAAACCTTTCCACTCCTCTGGTATTATTCATTGAGAGAAGTCAGGAACTGGATTGCTGTTTTTGTTTGTAATAAACTATTTAAGCTCGTGTTTTTTCTTAGTGTCTCATTTCTTTGGACACACTGGATTTAGGAAACTGGTCGTCTCAGTTTAATTCAGATTCTCTAATAAATGTTTTATTTTATTGAATTCATCACTGTCACAGTTGTTTGAACCATCTCCATCCATATCTGTTACTGACTGAGAGCACTCACATTTACCATTACCATTAAATCATTTTTGAACACTCCTTTCACACTTAACTGCCCTATCAATAAAGGCTTGATGCCAAAAATACATACAAATAAATGAAATAATTGTTTCTTGATAAAAATCATCTTTTGCGTGAACAGAATAAATGTGGCTAAACGTATAATATGATGTAATGTCACTTTCCAACTCTAGGTGGTGCACTTCAGTCATGGCTGAATTATTTTCCTGACAGGATCATTTTCAAATAACAGGTTTTTATATCATCTGCAGCACATTTGTGTATTAACCTACAAACAGAAGCACGAAACACATCTCAATATGAGAACTAGTTTTTATCTTTTTTATTTTAGTATTGTCTGCTCGAGTTTTGATGAGCAATGAAATGCACTATACAGTATATTCAATGAGTTTGAAAAGCTTATCAATATGTGACTGAAACTATGTGAATTAGTCCTTTAATATGTCAAGTTTTTTAATATCTGTGTTAAAAAAAGAAAGTATAATGTAATGGAGCATGACGCACAGTCAAGGTTCTGTACAGGAACATTAAAAACAACACAGACAATTGAAACAAACTTTTTAAAGCTAAATCAAAGATTATTAAAAGCAGAAAAAAAAGAAATAAAACCCTAAAAAATAAGTAAAATAAGTTGAATACAACTAAAATAGATACAAATATGCAATATAATAAAATACAAGTTGTCCACAGACTGTTAGAGAGAACATTAAAAGCACTCCAGAATAAATGTTTAATCTAGGTTTTAAAAATACAAAGCAGACTTATCACAGGGTTTTTTATTGACATGAATAAACTGGGAGTGTCTCTGTTTCCAGGCAACAGGTTCATTTTACATAAAGCCAGTGGAACACAGAGAGGGAACTTGTGTTAACAGCAGAGCGGAGCCAGACGTTTACACTGAAGAGAACCATAAAATCATAAAGTGAATCCTCTCAGTGTCTCATCCGGTTACACAGGACTGTACCAGAGAATCTATATTTAAATGAATATATGTTTTTATATTGTGAACTATGAGTCACACAAGTCCAGAGTTCACTCAAGAGTTCGCTCTGAATAGAACCACTCACAACACATGGGGGAAATCCACTTCTCTGTTGTCACAGTGTGAGCAGCACTACCTGCATTACTGGTCACATGGTCTGCGGTGTCACCATGAATGTGACTTGTCACGTACTCAAATTCCACCACACACACACACACACACACACA